TATATCTTGGCACGAATTATTAGCACCCAAATTCGTCACTGGTGTATCTATCAGACCACTTGTCGATAACAAGACTTTGTCACCTTCGTTGCTTGACAACATATTCTTTTGACCTCCCTTGTCCGCGTTCTCCTTTTGTTTGTCGACAGCTTGTTAACAGGCATCACGTACTAAACGCGTGGTGTCTTATAGTAGTAATAGAAATTCGGTCATAATTGTAACGGGGCGAGAGCTCCGTTACGTAGCCTACACTAAAGGTCTTACGAGGAAGCGTAAGAAGTACGCAATTTACTTGCGTACTTAAGACTATTGTAAGCTCTGTTATTATTATTAAGGTTAGATCTAAAATCATAAACCTTCTGTGAATCAGCCAAATACGTGCCAAATATTAATTGGGTGAATTGGGGCTAAACCCACTTTCAACTAACCAAACAATGACACTAAAAGATACGCTATTCGTATCTTTTCCTTTTCCTACTTTATGTAATATTGTCAATATTGTCTACCTAATTATGCATAATAATGAGAACGTTATTATTGCGCTTGACATGGCGTGTAAAGGTACGACCCCGTTACACCACCCCCCCCACTCAAAATCGCAAATACCATGAGTGGAAGGGACCAAGGCACAACAGACACGCACTGTGTAACTTGCACTGCTTCACCCAGTCTCCAACCACCTTCGGCACCGCGCGAAAAGCCTGCGGTGCCTTTGACAACCTTCAATCCACCGAGAAGATATGTAGATACCTTGCGAGTCTGAACCTTGTATGACTGTAGTGGTATCGAGCAATCATGTGGGGACGAGGTCATGGCCGATATGTGGCAAAGGTGGAGAGCAACGCGCAGGAAACACGTCACGGCTACCCTAGCCGTGACCCAAAACTCGCTTGATGAATCATGGACTGCGTTTGTGCGACGCTGGAACTCGAAACCACATTTCGGCGAATTATTACCACGTCGGGAGGAACAGCGCCGGACGTATGGTCTAGCCGACTTGCGTACATTGTCTTGGAACGCTCGAAGACCGTATTGCTTCGTGTGAAGGCGCAAGGGATGTCGATTTTGTCGCGGTGAGCAAGCTCCAGCCCGCGACGAGTGAGAGTCAATTCTTGCACAATATCCAATGACGGAAGAAGGGCGCCCGTGGATAGGGCTCTATAAACGTGCTCTCTCGAATTTTGAGCATGTACGTCTGCTCGGTCGTGCACGTACTCGATCGACACGTGATTCACGTTCACGCTCGCGGTCTGCAAATCATCGACCGCGAGGACCACCACGTTCGCCTCGGCGTCAAACGCTTCGCCACGGCTGGAACGTTGGCGAGAAGAATGGAGCGAGGCTCCCACGAATTGCTCGTGGGAGGGAGACCAATTCAGCGGACGCAGTATTGACAACCATCCGAGATCGTCGTGGGGCGGCCATGACTGGAGGCGCGGTGATTCAAGGTCGATGGGTCGCGATGCTCAAGAATCTTATCGACAATCCAGCGCGGATTCCCGGCGCTATCAATCAACGGGGAGTACCATCGCGGTGAAAGCGTGCATGAGGTGCCTGAGAGTCTGGCGGCGTCTGAAATGACCGAGCCTCTCGCGAAGAAGCTTTGCGAGTATCAACAGTGCGTTGGGTTTGTTGGATATGACGCGAAGTAGCCGTGGGAACTGGCTGATCTTGCTGACTCGCGAGTAAAGCAGGTGTATTCGACGTTGCCGGATTGGCGGTTTGCTTGGAACGGTTGGAACAGTTAAACGCAGCTTTTGGGAAGGACAACGCGGTGTTGCGAGGGGGACCGTCAACCGGATCCTACAAGGATGCCGAAGTACCGCGAGCCACGTTATGCTCCCGCTGTGGGACCTCCTGATCAGTCGGGAGGAGGGCCGGCCAGTAGCGTTTGAGTCGCCCGACCTAAAACGTCGGGTGAAGTCGCATTGTAGTTGGAATATCAAGTGTGTAGGCATTTCCCACAACCTTGACGACCTTGAACGGTCTAATATAGCGCGGTGACAGTTTGTTTGCACCGATGTTTGTCACAGATGCCCCTTGAATTCCTGTCGTAAATAACAACACGGAGTCACCCACGGATAACTTCTCTAAATTATTGCGTCTGCGTTGATCCACGGACGCTTTATGTTTGACAGCCGTACTTGCAAGTGCATCACGAACAAATCTCGCAGCTGACTGCCGTTGTTCCACAAATGCATCGATAGCCGCCGAGTCAGTGAGACAAGCACTCGGCGGCGAAGCACTACGACTCGAGGGATCGATCGACGGACTGTTGGACGACGAAGGTAATGGAAACGCACGACGCGTAGGAGTAATCAAATTTTAACTAGCTCATTTGGTAGCGTCATGTACCGACAACGGAGTCAGCTTACGCTGGCAAGCAGCGCGAGTCATTGCCATATTACGCTGGGGCAGGCGAGGCTTCATCGTGTGTATCAGTAGCGTTAATGCTGCGGACTTCGTCAACTCCAGAACTCCTAGAGTTTCTCCTCCAGCAAGAGTAGAATCATCCTCCAAATCGAGAAGGACAGGCACGCGTGGATGACGCGCGCTATTGACGAGAAAGGGGTCAATCCCGTTGGAGCGTGAACGGCGTTATTTAATGCAAACTCGGTCATAGGGAGGAAAGCACTCCATGACTCGTATGACGTGGCGTAACTTTGCAGCACGTCTTCCAATACGCGGTTTACACGTTCTGTCTCGCCGTCGGTTTCGGGGTGTGCCGCAGTAGACATTAACAATCTGGTACCCAGTAACTAGAACAGCCGCGACCAAAAGGCGGCTGTGAGCCGGGATCACGATCCGAAACGATTGTAGTGGACATTCAATGGTTCCGGAAGACTATGTCGAGAAGTTTGTTGCCGTATCTGCCGCAGTTATTGATGTGGCGACCGGAGCCGGATGCACCATCGTGCTGAGACGGTTAACGACGACGATGATACCCGTCTTCTGGAAGGCCAAATACAAATTCCATGCTAACAGATCGCCACGCCTCGGTGGGGATGGGTAGTGGAGTCAGCGGAGCTTGAGAGGACGGAGCTGGTTTTACGCATTGGCATGTCTCGCAGAAACTAACCCACTTGCGAACCCACTTATACATATGGGGCCAGTAAAAATCACGTGACAGCGCGGGGTAAGCCTTCTTCCGTCCTAGGTGACCGCTCGTCGCGCTGTCGTGATACTCGTGGAGTATGCGAGCACGTAAAGCATCATCGAGTGGAACGACGATACGAAGAGGATCAAATCGATCGATCTGGTACATTAGCAGGTCGCCAACAATTGTGTAACGAGAAGCCTGGGTGCGTGTCGGCGCTGTCAGTTTGCACAGCGCCTCATACGATGGGTCTTGACAGTACTTTAAGAGTGGAGAGAGGAACTTATTGCGATGGTACACCGTCGCGATGTCAGCACGGAGCAAATTGATCGCGCTCACAGCGGCCTTGTTTACTCCAAGAGCCTCACAGGCTGTCATGCTTCGCGCATGCCTGAGACGAAGACGTGAACTTGAGATGCCATGTCGACCGGCTTCGTGACGATACACGAAGCCAGATGCCGTGTTCGCTGAACGTAGCTGCGCATGGAAAGATTGCCTTGTTTAAGGTCAAAGAATTCGGTGCGTAGGCGCGACTCGTCTTGTGATGGCTCAAAAGCCAGACGTAGGTCACTCTGGAGCGTGTCCAGTGGGGAAGGAGTACTGGTCAACTACCAGCTTTTCAAAGCCCACTCTTTCGCCTTACCATTCAGGCGTGAAAGGAGGAAGTTAACGTTTGATGACATCGCCTCGATAAGTCTCGAGGCGATACCAATATCGATCTCCCTAAACAAACGACAGAGTGGGAGACGATCTGTACTCACACCCGAGTAGAGGGAAGTCTCCATTTTGACTGCTTCAATTCCTGAAGAACGCGAGGGAGTTTGTACCCGCCGATTCGCGTCGGCGAGCTCGTGTACCATGAATCCTTGGGTGGCATTATGTTCTTGGCTCGGTGATGCTATGTTCAGCGGCGTCGTAACAACAACTTGGCCAGACACCGCTGCGAGGCAGTGAAGGGCTTCTTACTTCACAAGCGTGAGGTGGGAGGACGAGTCGTGTTGCAGTGTATCCATGACAGGTTTGAGGAGCCTGTCGTCATCCATCGCGTTGGAAGGACTACGATGTGCTACCAGGTGTAACGGGGCGAGAGCTCCGTTACGTAGCTTACACTAAGGTCTTACGAGGAAGCGTAAGAAGTACGCAATTTACTTGCGTACTTAAGACTATTGTAAGCTCTGTATATTATTATTAAGGTTAGATCTAAAATCATAAACCCTCCGTGAACCAGCCAAATACGTGCCAAATATTAATTGTGTGAGTTGGGGCTAAACCCACTTTCAACTAACCAAACAATGACGCTAAAAGATACGCTATTCGTATCTTTTCCTTTTCCTACTTTAAGTAATATTGTCAATATTGTCTACCTAATTATGCATAATAATGAGACCGTTATTATTGAAATATCGTGCTTAATATGTCGTGCAACGATACGACCCCGTTACACCTCTTTTCTGAAATCACTTTTATAAAATGCCATGTCGGCACCTAATTGTTCCGTAACGTATCCCATTGCAGCCATTACAGAGCGTACTACTCTAATAGACTTCATGTTCTCCACAGGCGAGTAGGTTTTAAAGAAGTCAATGCCGAATTGCTGCCTAAAGTTCTCACAACGAGTCGGACTTGAAACGAACGACCTGTCCGTGCTCTTTGTGCTTCTTTGCTAAATCCATCGACATCCAATTGGTCTTAAATCCTTTTCTTCTGCACGAGTGCCCATGATCCTTTCTCTGTGTGAGCCTTAAGATCCGCACTCATCGCCATTACCCATTACCCATTTCGAGGCAGAGTTGCCGTTCATGTCTTGTTGGTATGTGGTTGCTGCGTCGTCCGCATCGATTATACTTGACGCGTAAGCTAATACAGCTTCTGTAAGCAAGTTTTTCTCATCAATACTACGAGGTCAATTGGGTGACAGTGGAGATAAATGGTTGTCAGAGTCAACATTTTCGTCGTCATCCGTCTTATGCTCATCAAATATGATAGAGCCATAACTAAGAAGAAGAGCTGGTTCCCAAGAACGTCGATAGCGTTCCATTTCGGGTCTGAATACAGTAGTGTCGTTTGCCTTCGACATATGTACTCGCTGAAACGTCGCCAAATCTCTTCTTGATGAGACAGGCTTCGATTCATCTTCTTGCATCTCAAAAACATCATTAAGTGGGTTCTCCATTACCTCCATTTGTTTATCCTCGACGGGCACTTCCTTAGGGAGTCCAGGCTGAGCCACTTTGTCGATATCCTTGTTCACGCTGATGAATTTCTTTTTCTCTGTCAATGATGTATCGTAATTTTCCGTTTACTTTGAGTTCATCGAGCTCAACAGACCTTAACATCTTCAACTCATTCAGCTCCAAATTATACACACGATAGCCCATCGTGTTGTCGGCGTAGCCAAGGACCATACTTGAAGCTCTTTGGCTCCAGCTTGGTGCATTTAGCGTCGTCATCATGAGCATAACCCATCGTTCAAACACTCGCAAGTATGCCAGCCAAGGCTTCATCGAAAACTTAATTTGATACAAAGTAGTGTCAGTGTGCGTGCTGTTTGTAGCCCGGTTGAGTTAATGTACTGCCGTACTGACTACATATGCGCAACATATAGTCGATATACCCATATAGTGCACCATGCTTCAGGCCTTAATATCGTACAATTCATTCTTTTGGCCACTCCATTTCTTTGAGGGCTGTATGGTAAGGATTTCTGGTGAGCAATACCGTTGTTCTGGCAGATTAGTCTTCGCCATGAGTCCAGTGACATTCAGACGGTATATATGATCCAACGGGGATTCGTCCGACCTCTTCTTTGCATAAAAATATTGGCGGGTCACTGGTACCCCCAACCCGCAGAACTTCATCTGGAATTCCTGGAGTAGGTGCTTTAATTCCTTTAAACCGAGCGGTACCAGTTCTGGGCTGGTCTGGTCAGCATTCCTTCAAAACTGAGACACTTTAGCCATCTGGAGCTTGATCTCTCGTGAATGCGGTCTTCACAGTAGTCACCCAGCTGCATGCTCGGTCATCATCTTGGTCTTTGCCATAAACTAAGGTCCGAGGTCGCCAAGATCTTAATACGGGGGACCATGTTGGTGGCCTGTCCTATATCCTCGCCAGAGATCCTTCAAGGCCCATGCCATCTAGATCGTATTTTTATTAACCCACCGACAGATGCCTCGGACCCCGTACGTTTTCGGCGACTCCAAACGCAAGATGTGCCCATTGTGATCTAGGAAACATGGAGGCTCGGGATGCTGAAAGCGATTGACCTGTGACCGCTGTAGAAAGAAAGGTCACCCATCGGATTGCTGATTGTTTGTGTGCCGAGGCTGTGGAGAAACTTATGAAGTCGTGAAGAGCCTTATGCATAAGTTTTTACAATTTTATTCGTCAATGGTACTACCGACCAAGCACGCCGGGATGTTGCCGGAGAAGTTCGAGAAGATTATATATTAGGACGCTCACCAGGTTTGAATTTGGTACGAGCCGAGATTTATGACTTTTGTTTGTGCAGTTGGGTCGGAATGTGCAGACAGGGGTTGGTTGGTATGTGGAAGTACGTCTGAAAAGATCGACCTCGGATCAGTGAAATCTGTGGGTCACAAGACGAGAAAGGTGGATCACGACCATGAATCAAGGGGTTATAAGTCGAAAGTTACTGAAGGTGACCAATGTCAGCTCCACTCCCTAATATAAACTATGATACCATAATATGAATGTATGGTGGAGTGCGTTCTCAAAATTGCGTAATGAGACCCCAAGTCACTCACTCTGCCGGACTACCAACTATCGGAGGAGGTACCTCGATGCCGCGTATAGACCGTCTCTTACCTTGTGTTCCCGTCCCGTCGGCTGGAGGGCTGCACTCTTCGGAGACTTAGTTGAGATGTGATATAGGCCTTAAGAGAGGTCGAATTTGGGGTGCCTCGAGTGGATTTACTTCACTCGAAAGGCAGGTAAGTGGCCACTCGGTCGACTAGGTCGGGTGGACTTATAACCAAATTCTTCAGGAAATATTCTTAACCGTGGCCTTTCCTTTCCTTGATATCTCAGGGTGCTAAACGCCTGGCATTTACTTGCTCCCGAACCACTAGAGTAGGGAGGCCGCTTCCGATAGCGGGTCGATTGGGGGAGGGGTGCTACTCAGACAAACTCACAGGCCAAATATATCCTGGGGCTCTATTTGCACTTGGGTCTTACCACACAACTGTCTTCGACGGGGGGCCAAACTAGATCCCTTCCCGGAACAGGTGGGTAGAACTAGTAAGTACCTTAGAAGCACGACGGAGGTGTGCTATGTAGATCGCAAATTGAGTAGTATTTAATATAGTCCTATCTTTAAACTCCTTTACTCTCTCTTTATCGTGAGACCTGATTCTTGATTCTACTTGCCGAGGGGTCAGGGGCCGATATACCGAGGGGCCGAGAGTCCACAGAGGCCGAGGGACCGAGTGACCCAGGGAGGCCGAGGAGCCGTGTGACCGAGAGGCCGCGAGTCCAGGGAGGCCGAGCTGCCGAGAAGGCCGAGAGTCCGGGGACCGAAGGACCATTGACTATCGACTGATGGCCGAGGTCTATTGATGCAAGAACAAGGTCGGGCTTTGTGGACAGTGGCCGAGGGTCCACTGACCGAAGGGCCAAGTTCTACCTTTATCAAAAACCGAGGTCTACCAATGATAGACCAGGGTCTACTTGGGAAGACCGGGATACCTCGAGGAACTGCGGTCCATCGGCCTAACCGCGGTTAACTCCTCTGAATGGCGGCTAACTAGCACGCTTTGACCGTACATTCTTTTCATCCAACGGTCGTTCCCCGTCCCTTTTCAGCGCTCCGTCTCTTTGTTCCTTACCCAACGGTTGCTCCTCCTTGACGGGTCCCCTTCTCTTTTACCCACCGGTTCTATCGCCAACCAATTCTTGAAACGTTTCGCTACATTTAATTGCACGTACTAAGCTGTATGAATATTGAAGGTAAGCATCTCAAGAAACTTGGTGTTGACAGCGATAATGACGTCGCGCTCGAGCTCAAGAATTGTCTTTATGGGCTTAAACAGACTGGACGGCTATGGAGCCAACTGTTGCGAGCAAAAACTATTGACGCAGGATTTGAGCAGTGCGTTAATGATATGTGCCTTTATTACAAGCGTGATGAAGACGAAATGATCGTGCTGGGTGCATACGTCGACGACCATCTAGTAACGGCGACCACGGCAGCCGGTGTGGTTTATTTCGTAACGCGATGGAGTCACTTTCGATGAAGGACCTAAGCCTGTCTCCACGTTTCTTGGAATTCTAGTCAAGAAACTTAATGCGTGCGCATATGCTCTGGATCAGGAGGAGACGATTCGTGATCCGCTTCGTGAGCATGGCATGACCGCGGCGAACCCAACGCGTACTCCGATCATTGACAGTTGTTATGAAGATGTGGAATTGGAATGCGTTCGACTTACGAATATTGAGAGTACTGAGAGGCCGATGATTACGTCGTTTCAGTCTCTCGTTGGCAGCTTGTTGTGGTTCGCGCGATGCATACGCCCGGATTTCACGTTTCAGTGCATAACGCAACGCGCAGGACCCATCAGCCAAGCCTACAAGATTGTAACTTGGCCAAGCGCATATCCAGTTACTTCGCCAGGAGCAAGAATGTATAACTAGAGATGCAGAATGGTGCTGAGGGCAGTGATGCAATTACGTTGGAGTCCTACAGCGATTCAAAAATTTCTGGAGACAAGGGCGACAGGAAGTCTTTGACTATAACAATATTTCTTCTCAGCGGAATCCCTGTGAGATGGTCTGCGAAGAAACATGAAGTTTTTTTTCTCTACCATGGAAGCCGAGTTCGTGGCGGCGTCCGAAACTGCTCGCGAGTTCGTTGGTATTCGTGAGATGTTAATGGAAATGTAAAAGGTGCCAACACTTCCTATGAAGTTATACGTCGATAATCACGCTTCTTTCTGCCAAATTGATGGTGAGGCATCCTCCATAAGGGCTTAACATAACGTCGTGCGCTTCAAGTTCATTCAGGGTTTTGCTCGTCGTAACATCATCATATCAAGCTGCATTGATTCTAAGGCCATGCTTGTGGACATACTGACCAAGGCAGTGGACCAGCACAACTTTAAGAGTTTGCGGTCTCTGGTAGGTCTGCACTAAGCAAATTGCCCGTTATGCGATTGCAAGGAAAAGTGTTGAAGATGGTGTTAGATTAAAAAGGTACGCTATTGCAAGGTCACAATTTAATGGTCTTTTTATAACGGTTGCGCAGAGATTTAAGGCAAGAATGGGCATGCGTACAAGGTCATTGTCTGGTGATATTGTATGATGATAGGCGGTAAACAAGAAATCGTAGCATCAACGTGCAGGTAAGACGGTAATGACAAAACAGTAATGATTGAGCTTGTAGCCGAGCTGCTTTAGCCACGCTACTTAGGCACTATGTGCAGAAGAGAGACAAGCTCAGAGAGCTTCTACGTCTTAGGTGCTTACCCTACTAGGCTAGCTCGTAAGCTTGTGCCTATCGGTTGTTACAATCGGGTCTCAAAGAGACTAGTATTAAAGATATAATACCTTACAAAAAGAATAGAACGCTCAAGCAACTAATGCTATACAGAGCAAATTTGAAACTGATTTATATTTATATTTATCTTCTAGCACTAAATATAGAAGCATCTACTCTATACCTAGTGCTAGTCACCATTTACTGGCTCTATAGCCTGTTATTATTTTGCAAACATGTATAGTCACTTTACTTGAAATAAGTATAGCGACCACATGGCTCTCTGTCACGATGCGACCTTTCGTACTTCAGGTACGGTCACATCACCTACTCTTGTACCCAAGGTACAGCCACACCAAATTGGTGTGGCAGGTGTGTATGTAAAATACACACCTTCGCGTATCCCCGTTACACCCCCCCCACCAATCTGTGGGACCCGACGTACCCACGAATTTTCGCACTTAATTGGAGACATCGATTTCATTTTCTTCTCATTTTGCTTGCCTCGCAATAAGTGCTTGCACTTGCGTCTAAAGCTTCTGTGTTTTTACCACTTGATCTTTGAGCACCCGTTCATTGCACACACGCTTTATAAGCATCCTTGTGTTACGACACTCGCTCTTTAAGCACAGTGCATTGCACTCACGCTAAGGCATTAAGTGTTACGACACTTGCTTATAAGCGTTAAGTGCCAAGCACTATGTAATAATACTCTTTGTGTGTTTACGAACACTTGCTTTCGCAGCACAAGGTGCCTTCCACTTGCTTTTGAAGCATTACAGTGTTCACAACACTAGCTTTTATAAAACACTTATCTCAATAGCGCTTGCTCCATCATGGATGAAGCAATGCGTCACGACATATTTGGGGACGATGACAGTAACTTTGCCATAAAAGATAGCGGAGCCGAGTCTCCTTCGGGTCATGGTACCGCAAAATCATCACGCTCACCGAGCGAGGGACGTCGATTCAATTCTGTGTCTTCTCCCTCAAAGGAGGCAACCGCATTGC